CCCCAAAACCCCAAAACCCCAAAACCCCAAAACCCCTTATAAATTCTTAATTTTTGAATGAATTATTAAATCTCTTATTTCTTGGTTAAAATGTCAACTTGCTTTAACCCTTCTCTACCAAAAAGGATGAGTACCTTACTTACATTGCTCAGAAAGAAGAAGCCCTCTGGATTCCCAGTGGGCTTACCTAGAAGAACAAGTAGAGCCAGTCAAGGTACAGAAGGCCTATTGCGGATGGGTAGAGGGCTAGAGAGGTGTATGGGTTTATGGATTGAGGTTGTATATGAGCTTTTATAAGTTCTTATGAATGGCTTACTTACTTATTACTTTCAGCTAGCATCTCTCTACTTCAAATATCAGCTTTCTTATTGCTTAAATATAAAAATCCCCAAGCTGTGCTATCCCTATTTTGTCAAATTCAGGTTCCTAAAAGTTAATGAAACATTTTGCTCAATCTTTACCTTAAACTTACACAAAATTCAAGCCCAAATCTCTATAATTACCACAGATTCTTGCAATGGCTGTTAGATGTGAGCATCCAAAAATTACTCGCATTAGTGTAACTTAGGCCAAAATGTAACTTTAAAACTGACCTCATTAACTTTTCCGTCTAGGGAGATGCCATAAATACAAAGATGTGAGCCTAAGATATCTAAATGGGTCAAAGCGGCTCAAATCTAAGAGATCCATAGTTATCAGAGACAACAGAGAAACGGAGACTACTTCGACTGTAAGTCACAAAGTGTTCTATACTTGTCCAAATTGTTCTGGATACATTCCCAAATTTCTTCAGTAACTTAACCTTGTCTTACAGACCGACACGAATGAGTTCAAAAGTGTGAGAAACCTGAGGAGCTATGCAATAGCTACAGAGGTACGGAACCCGTACAAAAACTGTTATGAACCAAAAGTTTCCCCGAAGAGAGGCAAGTTCTCGAGGAACAAGTCTCTTAGGAGATATTTTCCTACCCAAAGAACTTCGTGTGACCAGGACCCAGTGCATGGTAGGATTATTACGCGATTTTTGATTTTCATCAATATCCTGATATTCATCATTTTTAGTAGATTTGGAGAAACTTATACAAGAGGATGAAGATAAAGGTAAACTTGATTGAAAATTTTGCAAAGCCTGACCTATTATAGCCCTACAAAGGAAGCTAAAGAATATCTCTGGGCTCCATGCCAGGTCTCAGTCTTGTCTCCCTAAGATTGGAAGGAAGAAAGACTACCATCTGTTTAGAAACTTTATGGAAAAGTAAAAAATCACCTAAATTTTATAGTTATTATGACCGCTTGGCAACGGTTATTAACAAAGTTGATCAGAGCGGCAATTTTCGGAAAAATCTCAAGGCCTTTGTTTCTGATAGTGCTAAAAAGTCTCGCTCAAAAGGTAGGCAATTTTATTTGACTACCATTGGTCATTTAGCAGCCTGGAGTTTGAATACCTAACTTTATAATAGACCTAACTGAAGAGACTATTAATGCGAAGAATCATAAAAACTTAAAAATTTTAGTACGTAAACTGAACGGAAAAGCATCAAAGAGTCCTTTAAAATCGAGAAATACTATTCAATCTGATTTTGGTTCTCAAGATGTCCAGCCAATAGTTGAGTAAGGATGCATATAATCAAATTTAGGCAAGGATCATTATTTGATGATCCTTATATGGCTTCTAAGGAAACTGATAACAATAGCCATCAAAGGCTAAAATAAAGTATATGTATCGCCCTCAATTTTTCATTCCTCTCCAAATAAAGAACCAAATCTTGCCCGTAATACAATTGATCTATAACTCAACCACTCACAAGCAGGAATAGACCTTCTAAATTTTAGCGTAAAATTCAACCATATCTAACTTTTACGGGGTTTTGGGGTTTTGGGGTTTTGGGGTTTTGGGG